GTTTTAGTCTAAGTTTTGGAAGACCTAGAGAAGTTTCCTGAAGTCTGTTGTATTTTATGTCTATCTAACTTGTTTCTTAGTTTTGAGTCTGAGCAGAAGTCTTGGCTGTCAGACACACGTTTGTAATTTGCAAATGGAGAGAACCAATGGGGAACTTCCTCAGATATGGCTCTGAATTCCCCATTTAAAGAGTTATCCACTGTTTAGCCTTTTTTTCTATGTATTGTAGTGAAGGAAATCAACACTTGTGTTTTCTCTTCCACAAATAAAGCCTTTTGTTTTCTAGCAGCTAGTAGCACAACACATGGATGGATAGTTCTTTTCCTATTTTCACACAACAAAAAAAGGAGTAACCTGAAGGTATTTAACAAATACTTTTTCCCCTTACCTATGCAGACTTCTCTGCTAATGGCTCCAAGCCTTAATTGTGTAAAGTTAAACAGAGAAAAAACATAAAGCATTTGTTTGGCCAGTGCAGATAACTCACAGGAGATAACAGCATTTACCTATGACTTTCTCCAGCATAATCTCTTACAGAGGATACTGAAAATATGCAGACAGGCAATCTGTGCAAGGTTTCTGTGGGTGCTCTGGACAATATTTCTGACTAGCTCCTCAGCTGATTTAAGTTGGCATTAGTGTGTAGGCTACACTTTTAAATTACTTCAGTTACGTGCACTGAGCTCATGTTTATCTCAGATTTAAACAAAGTTTAAAGATGCCTGAGGATCACAAACTCTTCTAACCAAGAGCCCATTTGTTCGTATTTGAGAAGTATACATTTTCAAGCTGGTTAAAACTGCTATGCAGCCAGATGCTTTCCACTGGGCAAAGTGAAAATCCTGGTTCAGAAAGGCTTCCAGCATATATTCAGTCTCTTTGACGCTCCATAGAAAGAATTCATCTGGTACAGAAAAGTTCCAGAAGTTTAAAAAAAAACCCTATTTTTTCCCTGTTCATCCCAGGGAACTCATATGAGGAAAATCAGAATTAGTTTCAAAGTAAATTTTCATATGAATCATTAAATCTGAAACTTACCCATGAAGGAAACTGACAAACATTTAAAATGTGCTTTCCATAGGCAGTATTTCAGATTACCGTACTTTATTGCAGAATTCATCAGTTTGGAGTTACACCTCCTCCGTGCTGTTACTCTTTACTATGATTCCATTCGAACCACATTGTGATGAATACTAACAGGAATACCATGGGTATTTTGAAAAACTTTCTCTATAGATGTTTCTATTATAATATCAGGTTGCATTCAGTTAAAATCTGTTTCAGAACCCTATAGATACTCTTATTTTCATTTATGATTTTAAATTACTGATAGCTTCTGTTTTCTATTTTTTTAAGATATTAATCAAATTGGGTGTACCTTAGTTCCTAGGCATCTTCATCTCTAATACTAAAATTATAAATCAGTAATCAGAAGTAATGTACACATTCCTTTTATATATTCTCTAATTGCATTTATTTTATACTATCCAAACTACACACTACTCTTTCTTCAAGATAAGCACATCATCTTGTTTCCACTTTGTTTAATTACCAAGTGACTATTACAGAGTTTATTGCTTCACTCCTCTGGTTTTTGGTGAGGGTAATTTCCTCTCAAAACGCACTCATCTGTTTTTCCATGTGTGGCTGTAGATGGACCTCGACCGCTGGAGAAACTGGAAAGGTTGTGGTGTTCTCGTTCATCGGTGATCTTGGTGGGCATACTTTATTTTTATAGGACTTGTAGGAAATGTGGATATAATTTAATAGGAAACATTCAGTTTAGGATTTAGGCTTTCAGTTAGACCTTGAAAAGAGTTGGAGGAAACTACAGTGCTTCATCAAAGTGCTTGAAGACCCTATTTCCTAACGCATGAGGGAAAAAGAAAATATCAATATTTCATTAAATAAGCTGTTAACCACAAGGGTTTAGATCATCCAGCATGAGCCTTTGAACAAGGGAGAGGCTAAAGAAAACAATAAAAGAGAAAGATGCAGAGACTTCATGCTCTGTGAATGGAGGGGCCAGGGAAATTCCTGCCTACGTGCTGAACTTTTCAATGTCAGCCATGGTGCAATGGGACCTGTGGGGAAGCAGAGCCACCACAGACAGTGCCACCACTGCTGCTGTCCCACCATCACCGTCCCCCTGCCCAGCCTGTTATCGCTCCTGCTCTGGGAACACGTACTACAGGATCCATAAGGAAAATCAAGGTTGTGCCTCTTTCCAGCAAGAAGTGCATTTCTCCTAACTCTGCAAAGATTGTGGGTTAAAAACTCTGTCCAGCCCTCCATTAGTACAAGTCTGTTGGATACTGAGTCGGCTCTTTTAGTTTCTTTCAAGCAGCACAGAATATAATCTGATGCTTTTCTAAGTGGATGCCACAGCTGGAAACACATCTGCTTTCTTTCCTACCTAGAGCTGTTGTATACCCATTGTGAAGGACATGGGAGAAGATTTGTACCTCTTTTTAGTTTTTCTTCTGCCATTTTTCATAGTCTCCTCCGTGTTTGGAAGATCTTCAACACAGAAACTGCTAATTCACAATTTTTTGTTGCACGTTACTGGATTTGAAGCTTTGGCAGTTCTCAAAAATTGATCTTTGATCAGTAGCTTAGACATCTTCCCAAATGCCTACATTCAGACTCTCAAAAATGATATATATTTATACAATGTATGAAAAATATCAGGTATAATTCAGTTTTGTAGAACTCAGGTTGCTTGCTGTAGAAGAGTCACAGTTCTGATCTGCAGGAGTTTCAGTGTTTCCTACCCTCTGTCAGTTACCTGTTTCATTGTGCATTATTAGGGCCCTTTTAAACTTTGTCCCCTAAATGATGCCCCAGGTGATTACTCACTGGCCTTGTGCTAAAGGCAGTGCTGGATAATCTACCTACAGCTAGGGAACAGGCTTCCCTGGGATTCAGAGTCAACAGCCCCACATGTCTGTCTACTTAGACACTATGCTGTTAGTGGATTGAGAAACCACGCTTGTTTGCCTTATCTTTCATTATGCACAGGGTTTTTCCAATCTCTATGTTTCTCCCAGCTCTCTGAACCCTTCACTCTGTACAGCCTCTCTCGGCAGTCCCATGCCTCTCCAGCTGCATGGGGTCTGATGGGCCTTCTGTTAGCTTTTTGTTTGTCCTCTCATCTATGGTTTCCCCTAAAGGCTGTCCCTGAACATCTTCCTTCTGCTGCTCCTTCCCACACACCACCTCCTGGGAGCGGGCTGCAGTGCACTTCAGTGCATCAGGGCTTTCGCTAGTTTAGGTTCAGAATATGCTGTTGTCAATATGCCTGTGATGACAACCCCATTCTGAGAATTTTCTTCCTTCCATTTATGTTGGTAGAGTTACAACAAAGGGTGAATAAGTAAGCTTCTTTTCCACATCAATCCTGATTTTATTGACCTTAAATGTCTCTTTTCCACATAATGAATCCTGCTGATTTATTTTCTCTCCATACAGAAGGTGTCCCAACCTTTGGACCACCCCCTTTGTCTTTCTCCTACACCTGTATCATCAATGATTTTTTCACATTATAGAACCATAAGATGGGTAAATTCACACCATCTGTACAATGCCATCATTTCATTTCTGGTTTGGCTTTTATTCCTTTCCTATATACTGACATAGTCTATAGGCTAGGTCTCTGCAGTCACTAGGCAGAGCACTCGGGAGCAGAGGGGGCAATGCTGTCCAAATAGTCTCTCCCTCCAATCACAGTTAATAAAAATCCTGTCTAACCTGTCCTAAATTGTACCTGTGTTATTATGCCCTTAGAGTCTCCAGATCACTGACACTTGACAAAGCTGTGTGTCTTTCCGACTGGTGTTAACAGTGAACTGAGAACTTCCCACAGACCTACCAGCAGTGACTCCTAGTTCTCTTTCCTGAAAGGTAATAGCCAATTTAAAATCCATTAAGTTATATATGTCTAGTTAAAGTTGTTTCCCTCCATATTCATTACTTCACATTTATTGACATTGAATTTTGTCTGCTATTTTACTGCCTGGATACTCAGAGCATGTTCATCCTACTAAATGTAGATGAATGGCATCTGAGTCAGGCAGCAGAAAGAGGCATCTTCAGGGTTGTGATTTGTCTGATTCTAATGTCTGTATCCCAGACAGACCAGGGGAATTGAGCCTTAAAAGTGCCTGTTTCTCTCCACTGAGTACAAAAGGAGCCTCAGGTGACTCTTGATTTCTCTAAGAGCTATGTTTTAGATGTTGGTGGTTAGATAAGATGACTCCCATGTGTGTCATATTGCGACTGGTCTCTGTCACAATGCAGTCAGCTTTAGTTTATATTGCCCTAACCTATTTTGTACCATCAACAAACCCTGCTACGCTGCCATTCACCTTTCTCAGATGATTTATGGGCAAATGGAGCTCACAACTTCACAGATGCTGCTGAGACTCCTCTGGAAATCTCTCTTTTTTGAAGAAAAAAAATGACCTTTTGTGCCTACCCTTTCTGACCACAAGAGCTTTATTTATTTATTTAGAAACCTCCCGGGAGGGACCTTGTCAAAACCCTGTTGGAAACACAAGCGTGCTGCATCGACAGCACCACTGCAGTCTGTGCTCTCACTGACTTTTCCCAAGGAGCTCAGTGGATTTATGAGGTAAGATTTTCTCCCTACAAAAGTCATAGTATTTTTTCCCAGTTGTACCCGTTTGCCCTGTGTCTTAGTTCTATGCCTTATTGTAAGTTTCCCAGGTCAGTGTTCCCAAATCAGATTTATAAATCTGTAGGTCTCTGGACCTTTTCTAACTTTCTTTTCCAAAACTATGTTCACATCTGTTTTTTTATTGCTTTAGTACCCTTTAAGTAGTGGGTTGTGCACTGAAGTTAGCAGAGCTTTTACAGCTGGGTACATACCATATGGTAACGCTGATCTGTTACTACCTACCTATTTTATTAATCTTCCCCTACTACGTTTGAGCTGCTCCTATTTGTTGTCAGCAGGAAAGCCGATGCAGTGGGAATCTCACGAGATGCTCTTACCTGGCTACAGTCCACTTTGCTATTCCTTTCTTGAAGACCTGTGGGCCTCATTGACTACCTGACAGGCTGCCTGTTTGAGAAAGGTTTGACTACTTCTTTTGATTCCTTTAGCCAGTTGTCTCTCAAAATGTTTTTCTTGTCTCCTTATGACTTTACCTTTTGCTTACCAGAATGTATTCTTTACTTGCCCCTAGAAATTTGTCCTGTGTGTTGTTTGTTTCAATCAAATACTTTTTGTATTGTAAAAGAACAATATCCTGTTTAGAGTAGGTTGGATTAAGTGAAGCAATGGCCTACATTAGGCACATATTATTTCCTTATTATTATGGCAAAGAGATAGTGTCACAGTTTAAACCCAGCCATAACTCAGAACCATGCAGTCTCGCTCTGACTCCCACCCCCTATTCCCACCCCCTGCTCCCAGAGGGATGGGGAGGAGAATCAAAAGAATGTAACTGCCACGGGTTGAGATAAGAGCAGCCCAGTAACTAAGGTATAACACAAATCACTGCTGCTACCACCAATAATAATAATGATAAGGGAAATACCAAGGGAAGAGTATACAACCGCTCAACACCTGCCGACCGATACCCAGCCCGACCTTGCCAGTGAACTCCCCTTCCGGGTAACTGCCATCAGTTCTACATCCTGGGCATGACATGCTGTGGTATGGAACACCTCTTTGGTTAGTTTGGGTCAGGTGTCCTGTCTCTGCTTCCTCCCGGCTTCCCTCCTCCCTGGCAGAGCATGAGACTCAGAAAGTCCTTGGTCACAGTAAACATTACTGAGCAGCAACTAAAACCATTGATGTTATCAGCGCTGTTCCCAGGCTGGAAGTCAAAACCACAGCACTGCACCAGATACTAAGGAGGAGAAAAATGACTGCTACTGCTGAACCCAGGACAGGTAGTTTGCCCATTTCTGCTCACAATCTATACTTTTGGTAACGAGAAAGAGAATAATTTCCATTAGTCTGAGATGGCCAGATGTAGGCAGCAGGGGCATTTGTGCTGTGGTACCCTTCCTTTCCATGCCATTTTTAGAATGCTCTCTGCTCCGTTAAAAAAAGAAAAAACACCTTCCGTTTTTAAATTAATTGAGTTAATGTTGGTCTCACAAGAGAGGAACTTCCTCAGAGGAAGGTCAATAACACAATTAGCAAAACATAATTAAGAAAGTGGTGCCGAAGAGCCAAGTTGTTGGCTAGATGCTTCCCTCAGAACAGATGGTAGGGCCAAGTAGTGGTGGGTGTACCCCTGACACCGAAGCCAAAATTTGCTCTTAGACAGCACAGTAATGCAGGGTGAGAGGCAGGGTCTGTCCCTTGGCCAGGCTTGTGGAAAAGATAGAATTTGGCAAAAAAATGGTCTCAGGCTTGAATGTCTGGCATTTGGAATTCAACACACAGTACAGTTTGGGTTTATAAGCACTTGAACTCTTGCAACTTTGCATCACAAGTGTGCACAAAAGGCATCGTTTATGTTCTTTGTTTCAAAAGTTTTTCATCTCATATTCATTTGGAATATTCAGTGTTTTCAGTTTGTTCTATGATATTTATTTGAAGATATGAGCCTGACTGAAACCTGGAACAATGAAAAGCTTACTTATGCAGTCCACACTTTTTATCTTAATGAGCCCTTTCATATGTAAGAGGTTTTTATAGTGGGAATCACAACTAATTTGGAATAATAGTCATATTTGAAAGTTTGGACCTTAGTCTGTGGCAGTTCATAAAGAGAAAAAAATCAATCAAGTTAGCCAATGAATTGTCCTTGCTTTATTAATTATTGTAGAACCATAGAACCATAGAATCATAGAATGATTGGAGTTGGAAAGGGCCTTAGAGATCATCTGGTTCAAACCCCCCTGCCACATGCAGGAGCATCTTCCACTAGACCAGGTTGCTCAAAGCCCCATCCAACCTGGCCTTGAACGTTTCCAGGAATGGGACATCCACAGCTTCCCTGGGTAACCTGTTCCAGTGCCTCACCACCCTCACAGTAATGAACTTATTCCTTATATTTGATCTAAATCTCTTCTCGATCAGTTTAAAGGCATTCCCCTTGTCCTGTCCCTACATGCCCTTGTAAAAAGTCTCTCTTCAGATTTCTTGTAGGTGCCCTTTAGAAAGGCTGTGATAATGTCCCCCCAGAGCCTTCTCTTCTCCAGGCTGAACAAGCCCAACTCTCTCAGCCTGTCTTCATAGCACTAGTCTGATGAGTCCATTACTGTTTCTTGCATGGTGGTCAACACCGTATGTTTCAAAGAAAGGTTCAATAAATCCTACGAAAATATTATGTAGTAACTGAATCACAGGGACAGTTCTTAACTTCTGGCAGCTGGTGCCTGATTTATGTCCTCAAGCATGGCAACAAAAATCCTAAATGGTTTCACAAGTCTTTTCCCAAAATGACCCTTTTGGATACCGATAACACTGTAGAACAACATCTGGGCTCCACCTGCACATTGTGTTTTTGGCTTTGTTTTTATTTTTTAAAGAAGAGTTCATGACATTTCAGGTATTTACTTGGTATCTTCAGAAAAAGGACTTGTATTTGTCTTTGTAACAGATGCTGGAAAGGCAGGGGAAAAGGGAATTTCCCCACATTGTCCTATGGGGACAATTAAACCAAAGCGTTAACAGAAGGAATGAAGTCTATCTTACCTTCTTATTTCAGCTTCTCAAACTCCAGCCCTTGATCCATCAGAGCACAAGAGGGTTTAATAATACAGCTACATTCTCACTGCTGCTAACTGGATTAAAACCAACAACTAATTTTAAACACAAGAATGTCACTTTCCAATTGCTAAGCACGATTGTCTATCAGTCACTGCTATGCAGAATCATATCTATTAACAAGTCAGAATCACCAGAGATTTCTTGTTGCTCGTGACCCTTCTTTCTCATGTGATTCAATTCTCACATGGGTGTATAATACCAGTGAAACTGTAATGTCTAATAATTCGGTCATGCAGAGTGCAGCTTTAGGTGTTTGAATGCTCTGGGCATGGTTTGCCTGATGTTCAATAACTAACTCGTGGTTCCAGGTTTTATTTAGTGACCTACGGTTGTTTCTATAAATACATGTTTGGGCATGGGTTGAATTCATTTGGCAACACTACTTAGGCATGGATGACTGATGGACCATTAGAAGTCATTGACTGTGGAGAAGGTTAATCAGACAAATCTTCTCATTAACCTGCATCTGATTCTCCTCTTCATTATTGAAAGCCAGATGATTTTAATTTCCACTGTGAAGTTAAGGAATTATTTATCTTATTATAAATTATGTTTATATACATATTAAGTGTGTGTGTAGTTTCTATGAGAGCTTTATAAAATACGGAATATATTGCACAAAAGCATTTTGTAATGCTCTCTAATCAGAAAAAAACCCAACAAACAGTACATGTAAATGAATAGAAGACTTCTTTTCCAGTACAAAAATGCATGAAAATGCATGAAATGCAGCTGATGACCTTGGTCCTCATTATCTAATCTAGCCTCTTCTCAGTCTTCCGCACAACCTTAGGTGGTAATCTCATGGGTGGCAATCTCATAGATGGCACACTCTTGTCTCCTAGTGGTATTTATGTTTTTAAACCAGATCTCAGACCCCTAGGTAAAAACCCGTTTATTTATCTTATTTGGCAATCATGCTATGCCAGTGCGAGTGGTATGTAGATAGCAGGTCAACTCATTCCTTGTGTCATTCAAAATTAATTATTTATATAATTTGAATTATTAATGGCAGTGTGCTACATATATGCCTCCATCTACATGTGGGAGAGGGAACCAGACTAAATAAGCCCAGGGTGTCCTTTTTCTTTGCAGCTGTTGGGCTTCCCCATAATATTCATATTGTAAAGAAAGCTGGAAGCAGCAGTATCTCCAGCACATCATACATGCGTATGAGGATATCAATCCATAATTACATACTTAAAATCTTGTGTCTGGTGCTAGCTGACCCTGTCAGTATCTTAAGTCTTTAGGCCCCAGTGTTTCCGCCAGTAAAGTCCTTAGATTCTTGGATGATAGTTTAGGGACATGACCAGCCCTGTCTCATTACTGAGGGTAACTAGGTGTTTTCAGATATCCACTAAACATGATGGTTTCTTCTTTCAGATCAAGTTTTTTCTTCTCCAGTCAATGTTGCCTGTAAAATAACTGATCATCATGACAGCAGCAAACAGAATGCAGTCCTCCTTCCACTCATACTCTAGGTGAATAGATGTCCTGGTTTCAGCTGTAACAGTTATTTTTCTCTTCCATAGTATCTGGTGCAGGGCTTTGTTTCAGCTTCAGTCTGAGAACAATGCTGACAACACACCGATGTTTTCAGTTGTTGCTAAGTAATGATTACCCCAATGAAGGACGTTTCAGTTTCATGATCTGCCAGTGAGGAGGGGAACAAGAAGGCGGGAGGAAGCAGAGACACACACCTGACATAAACTAGCCAAAGGGGTATTCCATGCCACAACACATCATGCCCAGTATATAAACTGGAGGAAGTTATCTGGGAGGGCAGATCACAGCTCAGGTCAGGCTGGGGATCAGTCAGTGAGTGGTGAGCAATTGTATTGTGCATCACTTGAGTTTTCTGAGCTTTCCTTTCTTCTCTTGTTGTTTCCTCTTGTCATTATTATTATTATTATTATTGGTGTACTTTCTATTATCACTATATTTTACTTTATTTTAGTTATTAAACTGCTCTTAGTTCAACCTGTACGGTTTGTGTTCTTTTGATTCTCCTCCCCACCCTGGGGAGTGAGCAAGCAGCTGTGTGATGCTGAGTTACCAGCTGGGGTTAAACCACAACACTAGATTAGAGAGTAACTTTCTGCCTTGCAAGTACAACAGACATATAAGCATTTGATAAAAACTAGAACAATTTACTATGGAGAAACTGGGAGAGCACCATCCTGTTAGATACTGTTGGCTACAAGATTAGGTTAAAATTGCTTTGAGCAGAGTGGCCAAGGCTCCCACAGACCTGTATGGATGTCCTCGGTGCTTCTAGAAAGCAAGGAAAGTGAGAAGGCTGCACCAGCAGCTTGCTGGGACTGAGGGAGAAGAGGCTTTTACCCCCATCCCCTTAGTATCAGCTCAGTGAGAGGGCTCCCCATTCCTTTTCATGGCTTTCCCAGATCCTATTCCATGTATGTCTCCATTTATTCAACAGGGAACCTAAGTACTCCAGGCTGGTTATTTCTGGGGGGTCCAAAATCTTGGATTCATCCCACATAACAGCCTAAACTATTGCCTGGAGTTCTCCATTGACCTCAGAGGGGCTGAGCAAGATTTTTGTTCTTGGCTGAGGTTCCCAAAGTTAGTGGGATGAAGCTGGCCGAAAGTAGCAGAAGTTCATAATTGCAGCACTTGATATTATGACATCTAAAACCTATTGTGGACTGATCTGCTGGGGTAATTCTGGTTAGGTAAACGCAGTGGTGTTTTACAATTGACTTTAATGGCCCTGGAAGTCATTTAAAGAATTCTGTACAAAAGCTAATGCTGCTACTCTAGAAGTAGGTATTAACTGCCTTTGCTCTGATAATATTGAGGGATCAAAGCCATTCCTCCTCGGTGTTTCTCTAATGAAAGATGGGTTTTAACCATTCTTTAAAAGCAGTGAATCTTTTCAATTCTTTTTCTCCTAAAAGCTCTTTCTATCACATGTATTTCGATAGAGTTAGAATCATGTCCCTGTTTTCTTACTAAATGTTCCTATTTATATGTTAAAAAACCTGGCAGGTTTGCAAGTACTGAAAAAAAACCTCTCAAGGGGACAGCAGTTTTTTAAATGGAATGAGATTTAAAGTGAGAATTCATGAATATCCCTTTGCCTGGGTATGACAGAGATCTGTGACACTCTTATTCAGCAGAGTCCAGCTGGGAACTGGCAGGTAGTGTCTGTGTAGCCCTTTGCTCTCTGCATAGAGAAGGAGGTCAGCTCTCTAGCTGAGCTCAGACCAGCCCCATGGTGCAGAAGGATGTGAGAGCTCTGGTGCAAGTAAGAGGGGGGCAGCACTTGCATAGTGGCTGTGGTTGCATCTGCAGAGTAGGCTGTATCCAGGGGTTCATAAAACCTGCATCACTTTCACGAAACCGGGCTACCGTTGGCTTTTGTTTGGCTCTTGACAAGAAAATTCAAGATTGTGGAAACCTGTCTGAGCTCAGTACTAACACACATATCACTAGACATCTGGTTTGGCTTTTGTCGGTTACTTTTAATTGTGACTTTACAGATGTCTTCAGAATACAAATCACTATATTGCACTATGCATCCTTAATGCAGGAAGCATTTATAGCCACTGGCATGTGAAACACATCTGCCTGAAGGAAAATCTCTCAGGCCTAGTGTGAAGATGTTGCTATGAGATTGACCAGTGGTGGTTCCAGCATTGCCCTGTTGTGTCGCTCACCTCATTTTATTTCATCTGAATGTGCTTCCGTCTTCCTTTTTTTCCAACAGTGCCCTTAAAGCGATGGATGAAAGAGCCCCAGGACCTGCGAAGGGCTGGAAGAGCTTCTGTCAGCTGCCATGGGATTAGGTCAAACTATACGGGATCAGGAAGGATGGCACCGCTCAAGATATTGGTCCAAATTTGTACACCTGATTGAAACTCCGCAAAGCCTGAGAACTTACACAGAGATAACTCATTGTTATACTTAATGGGAGGTTGGTTGTATTGCATCAGGTTCCCTTTAGGTTGCAGAGTAGTTGGACAAAGCAGATTCTTGCCACACCAACAGGCATCCTTTAAAAGCCTGGAAATACTTCTGTATAAAGAGAGACCACAGCTGCTTGATTCAGAAAGCAGATAAAAAAGTAAATGTATGAATAGAGTCAATATGGAGTGGAAGATGAACAAAATAATAAATGTAATAGAAAATCAAGGTCTCCTATTTATTCTTGCGCATAATGCCAAAACAAGGCAATTTGAAATGGAAGTGAAAAGCAGCACATCCTGAGTGCTGTATTATTAATTTATGGTATTGATTGATGCATCAAAATGAAGGATTTAGTGAAAATAAAAACAAGGAAGTGTCTCTGTATGGAGAATAAAAATATCTAAACCCTGTTAGACAGCACGATATGACAACAGGCACGTGAACAAAAGGCAGGCCCCTAATTAAATGGTAGTGTGTTTCTTGTCCCTTCCTTTTGGCAGTGGTCTGAACAGGAGTCTGAGGTGGCCAGATCATTTCTCTGGTCAGGTGTTGCAACGCTGTACAGACAGGTTTAGGCATGATTTTACTGAACTTCTCAGTATGGCTTGTGTGTATCCACATTTCCAGCTAAAATATGTTTGATGTGACTTCAGTTGCACTCACTGTTGTTGTCAGCAACAGTTGATTTTCACAGCCTAAGCGATACTAAGGAAAGCGAATTTGGCAAGAAGCTTAACTGAAGAGGAGTACGCTCATTCCTGAGGTTCCTCCACTGACCCTGCTAGAGCTGCTCCAGGGTTCAGCCTAGCCTTGACCTGAGTTTCTGTAGTTTGCAAGTCATGTGGCTGCAGAACTGCTTCTGCTGTTCTATCCATCTTTGTTCAAAGTAATAACAAAAGAATTAAAAAGGGTTCAGGGAAGGGTGACAAACATCGTTGGAGCAGAGGAAAACTCATCTGAAGAGAGACTGATAAGGTTGGAGTTGTTTCCCTTAGAGATGAGACAAATAAAAAGGACACATAAAAAAAGGAGGCAAAATAATAAATAGTCTAGAAGGACTCATCCGCACCCCCCTTGTGATCTGCTAAAGGACCTTTAGAGGTCCATGACAATGTACTTAGATTAAGCTGCTGCTACCTGCCTCTCCCTGCTAGCTGACTGCAAAGTCAAGCTCTCTGCTGTGTGCTTCTTTGCCTTTTGGGGTATAAAGGCTGAATAGAAAAGCAGGGCAGGGGCAGCTGTTGTCCCTGTTTCCCACCTGCGAAAATAGGGGTATTCACAAAAAGTCAGAGAATATTCCGTGCCAGAGGAGAGGGAGATACTTTTCCACGTAATACACATCTACAGAACCAGGCAATAAATAATGTTTGAAGAGCTTGTGCTTTGTACCAAGACTTTCCTGGGCTATAAGGGTTGCTGGAAAAGCTGGGTGCAGCCGTGCACACTGGTTTCTCCATCCTGTTAGCCAGGATGGGTGCCCAACAGGTGGTGGTTAGAGAGCCACTGCCCTCTCAGCCAGTTGCTGTAAATCTGCCCCTGCTTACTGCTAACAGGTATGTTATCATGTTTACAACACCATGCAGCAAATGGGGCTTAGGAGGAATCCTTAGATGGCACATTCATTATGCCACCTCTGCTTAATGCAACATCTAATGCTGACCATCTCTTTGCTACTGGGTGGGATGGATGGGGTGGGATGGACCATGGCTGCAGCTCCTGTGCTCCTGGTTCTGCACCTGCCAGCATGAGGGCTGTACAGCCCCCCTGAATCCATAGCAATTAATTTCTTTCCCAATAGGGAAATAGCTCCAGCCTTGACTCTAAAACCTTTTGTTGTCCAGAAGAGAAGTTTTGCAAATAGAGAGGAGTTAGTGCTTTTAAGAGAGGTCCTCCTGTGCTGTTCCAAACTCCATCCTTAGTTACATCTCATTCGTATGGCTGAGAAGACTACCTAGTAACTTTTGGAATCAGTTAGGGGCTAATGTAACACCAAAGTCATCAAAGTTTGAAGCTATAAATGGAAATAGACTAAAACTACACAACATATATTGAACTTTTCTAGCAGCTCATTGCTTTCACTGAGGGAGTGCTCCACACCCCATCATTCCTACATCCACCTCTTGCCTACTGCTGGTGTTTGACTTGGGCTCTGTTGAGCTGATGTGACTCGCAATGCAGGCAAAAACCTAACATGACAAAAACCAGGAATAGTCATCTGCTGGGATGGTGATCTGAACTGGCTGATTGCAACTGAAGTGAGTGATGACTGGGTACTACTTTTAGTTGCAAGACACTGAGCTCAGGGTTTGGGGATGTGTTTTATTTCAGCTTGAGATAACTTACAATTTTGTATACATCCGTCTTCTACAACCACTGTGATAAGCAGGTACGTTATATGGCATTGTGCGATGAAAGTAGTCTAGTCTCCATGTTTAAAACATGCACTGGTCTCAGAGGAGTGCACACAGCCCAGAGCAGGCTGACTGTACCTGCTGTCTGGGGCACTCAGCTGGGCTGTCAGAGGCCTAGGCTACTGTTCTTGTGTCAGTGTTTCAATATTGTACAGTAGGTTGCTTTTATTAGGGTGAGCAATTTGATACGTGATGAACTGGTTAAGAATCTCTTGCTCTCTTGGTGCTTCTTGCTTTCCAAGAATGAAAGTTGGACTCAGTGGCTCTTTTACAACTAGAAGTACCCTGTTTCACACTACAGGATTATAACACACACCTGGGAAACAGGAGAACTGCCTTCCACTGCTTTCACTGCTGAAAGAAAAGTTCATTTCCCTTAATCGCCTCTTGCTTACTGAAAGCCTGTGCTAGCAAGGGGAAGATGCCTGGCTGATCCTGTGGGATGCATGGTTCCCTGCACCAGAGGACAGATGCACAAAGACAGGCGGCAACCGTGCTTCACAGGGAAAGGCAAGGCTGAGGTGTCTGGGGCTTGAGCCACACTGGGGAGTCAGCTGCCTGAGTCAAGCCATTATCCTGCATCATCTGAGCCGTGAGAGTCAGCCTAGCGTGTGTACACACCCCATGGTCAGCGTGGAAGCAGCATCTCACTGCTCACCGGGTAGAGCAGTATCCCTCAGAGGGATGAAACTGGGTCAGAGCCAGCGCAGTTTCTCACACATTTACAGCAGACTGGCAGCAGAAACATGTCATCAGTTACCATGTTCAGTTGGGTTTTGGTAACTCTGGAGGTGACGGTGACATCAGGAGACCAAGCCCTGAAAGCGTGCCACCTCGTGCCCCTGTATTTCATAGGAAACAACCATCGTAGCAATCTCTGAGGACTCACTCACACGAGTTCCTCAAGCAGCCAGTGATAATGCTGTACTTCCTCAGTAAATTCAATTTCATGTCAGTGTACTTTATTCCATGAATTTTTCATTCTTTGCTGCACAGCTTCAGCAGTAGCAGGGATGAGGACTCATGTCCTTGGTGGTTTGTTCATAGCACACCGGGGTTTGTAACCTGGCAAGCCCCAGAAATGGTGAAAATGCATCTCTTGGGCCTGGGGGGTGGGTACTCTGGCTGGTCCCTTACTGCCCAGCAAACACCCACAGGGAGAAGCTCCATCATGTGGGAAACAGGAAGGGTCACTTGGGAGATGGGAAGAGCGAAGGCAGGTGCCGGAGCATCAGGACCCACTTGCAGGAGCAGATCCCTGAAGATGGCAGTGGGTCCCTGCTCCCAGCCTGCTCCTGTGGGGGTTCTGAGTCTCTGGGGCTTTTTCTTTCCCTCCTCTTTCTTCCTTCGAGAGTCTTTGAATTCGGGGAGTTTATTCTTGTCTTAATATGCAGGGATTTACAGTGATCATTCTTGTTAACAGCTGCTAATGGGTATTTTATTCTTAAAGCTCCTGTGTTTTGAAGTACCATTTAGTTTTCAAAGCAAACTCAAATCTGTAAGCATTCATGGGAAGAAAAAAACCCGACCAGACTGGCCTTTGCACTGCCTAACTGATGTTATATTGCCTTCTCTGATTAAAAATTATTTTTAGCTTAAGTGTGTAGCATCGAGCCCTAGACACAGAGCTTTACAGTGCTTGTGACTTCAAACACAGCACCAACAACCTCCCCCCAAAAAGAACAGGTTGTAGGTGTGTAAAGGACTCCCTTTTTCCCTCCTGCAGAGAGTCTTTACTTTTAATATCAAAAGACTGAGCTGCAGTGATTCCCCCAGCTGCTTGAGCTTGACTCCAGTGATGGCTGAGGTGCAGGTGAGCTCCCTGCAAAAACTGGGGCACCCCCCCAGTCCAAATCAAAGCAGCTGGAGCTGGATGGGATGCACTCCACAGGCACATTCCCTTTCTTCATTTTTAAATTCCCTTTATTATTTTGCTACATTTCTGTTCTATTTTTCTTCTCATTTTCTGACCCAATTAACGTTGTTTAACTTGAAATGTTTTGCACAGTTTGTTAGAGGGATAGCAGCTATGAAGTAGAAGCTGGGATGCTTTATCTGATAGCCCTCTGTGACTGCCCCTCTTTGTGTTCTCAGAGCCCTTTGTACACACTAACCTGACCAAGTGAGTTTATCTAAGGAATTTAGGCAGTTTCAGTTTATAGGGGGTTGGGTGGATTTGAGATGCGCATGTGAAAATTGGGTATATGTGTGGACAAAAATAGCAGTAGAAAAGAAGACTATGTAAAGGAATTGCCTTTCTAACACCCAGACAGAAATAACAGGTTTCTGTAACCTAAAGCTCATAGGATGAGCTTTCTTGTGACTGAGTGTAGGAATGCTTATTTAGGTCCCGGATATCATGTTGCCTGTGCTGGTTTTTGGTCGTTTCGTTTCCAGTTGTAATGTACGTGAAAAGGTGACGGATCATTTGCAAAGTCAGCTGTAAAAATAATAGTTTCATGCAACAATTGCAGTGCTTTTTTAGGTAAACTTCTGTCATTTCGTGCTGATTTTCCTGAGCCACTCTTCAGAATACGGATGCAAAGGTTAATTTATGGAGATATCTGCAAATTATTTCTATAATGACATTAGAAAACAGCCCTGCATTGCTGCCTGTGAGGAGGGACGGTTATTGCCATACCAGCCACTCTCTACAAATGTGTCTGGCCAAAATAAGAGGGAAGACAAGTTCAACAAACTGTATTTGTATTTTATTAACATTCAAAGTTGTTTTCCTTTTCATGTTAATAGGCTTTTAATGATTTTGCATGGGAGAATGTCCTGTTTAAAGAGCGAGGAAACAGCTGATAGGTT